CAATAAAAATTTAACAAAGTTAGTTTAGTTAAATATAATATAAATCGATAAAAAACTAAGTTTGAAGAAACCAAACCTGAAATGTAGAGTCTTGACGTTGCTGCACAAACCTCTCCCATGCCTCGCCACTAATACAAGAGTATCGTTCTTTAGGATGCTCGCCCTTTCTTTTTCCACGAAGATACTCTCTTGTAAGCGTGGATTTAAAATCCCTCCACCGGTCATCAAGTTGCTTATACAAACGGTCTCTCATTTCTTTAGTTGGGGGAATATCAAATGTCAGCTGCAATATAATACAATAGAGTTATAAGCAAATAATCAATTATAATTAACACTAATAAAGAAAAGAATTCGCAACGTACCAAAATATCCTCCCAAATTTTTTGTTTTAAGTTTTTATCTACCATCTTCCAGTTAAGAATGTCAATCCCAATCTTACTGCGTGCGAGATAACCCATGTAACTAGTAAATTTAGCCCCTTCAAGACCTATGGCTTTCAAATCAGCGTCAAAGTGTACTACAATCCTCGGGGGCTGTGTGTTCTCATCACGTAAGGCCGTGGAAAATCAAGACTTATTCCATTTATTTACAAAATTGCCACTACCTTTTTTTCCACGGCGTTTTTCCTCTTAAGTGCCGTTATTTTGCGACGTTAAATGTTTTTTCTCTAGTAGTGTTGGCGTTTGTAACTTAAACTATTGCTCTCTAATGAACCGAAAAATAAAGCATTATTACTCATTAATTTTGGTGAATTTTAAATTGAAATTCAGAATGAAAGAGATTTATTAAATATTTTGACCAAACAAATATGAATATGAATATTTTTTGGCCAAAAATATAAATTGAATGTTGATAAAAAAATTTTATCGTTGTATTTTCTTAAGGAATTATATATGCTTTGTTTGATTTCAGTTCCTATTTACATTTTGTAGGACAAACAAATTGAATTTCCTTTCTAACTTCATTTAAAAATGCCTGGATATTATTCACTAGTTGTTTCCTGCCCATATAATGAACCTCATGCATAACTAAAGATGAATCATATCTATCTTTTACTACCTCCGGACTTTAATATATTATCTATGGTGATTAATATAAAAGTTAATTGTGGGTTAAATCTAATCATAAATATAATATAAAACTTCAGTTCACTATGTCAGTTATGCTTTAGATTTGTCCTTGTAATATAAGATTTCAATTCACTTTGTTTCTCTTTTTTTTTTTTTACAATATCCCTAATGATTGTAAGGGGTTCCTATAAAAAAATAGTTTTAATCATCCAATGCACATGAATGAAAATGAAAGTTTGGAAAAAGGCCAAAACCAACACACATTTGACAAATAACTAACTTAACTAATTTTTTTTAATATTTTTAAATTTGTTATATAACTCTTATATTAAGGTATAGAGAAAAAACGCTTATATTAAGGGCTGAAGATAGTATGACCCAATTAACTAATTTTAAAATATTTAAAAATTTACGTAAATTATTTTAAGGAAAAAACACAAAAAAAGAGCACCAAAATAGAAAAATTCCAAATAGTGACCCATCACAACATTATTATGTGTTTTGATAATAATTTTTGTGAATAAGTCCTTATGTACAATTTTTTTAATTTCAGCAGTTTTTTTGTGTGATTTTTCCTTATTTTAAAATATTGATATTTATTGTTTATACCAAACTAATTTGCTTAGTATCAAAATTGATATGTAATGGATGTAAACCCAAAAAAAATTGATATACAATGTAATGATATGCAATATTATAATTAAATAATTTGTTGAATTTTTTTAATCTTTCTAAATTAATCAATTATCTTATAGAGGTGAGGTGAAGGTATTATTATATATTTAACTACTACCTCTGATCCTTAATATAAGATATTGTTTGAATTTTATTTTGATCTTAAATATAAGACTTAATCTATTTTATCTCTCATATTTATGTATTTTTTTTCAAGGTAGTCATTCTAACAATAGTAGTTCTAGCCAATACACTTGATTGGTAAGGATATTTTAGGAAAGACAACACCTATGTATTATAAATAACTAATTTAACTTCTTTCTTTAATCTTCTCAAATTAATCAATTAGTTCTTATAATTAGGAGCAGATGTACTATAATTTACAAAAATCGAATGCATTTAATTAAGGGTAAATTACACTCAGGTCCCACATAAAACAATTAATTGATAAAAAATCCCTCGAAATCCCAAAATGATTCCTAAGTCTCTGGGACCTATGTGTAATAAATTCTAATTGTGATATTACCTATTTACCCCTATAATTTGAACCCAATGCAATTCATTTACAACCTCAACAATGACTATTGACAACCCGAGAAGAAGTGGTTGATAACCTCGGGAATGCCCCTGGTATCCCACAGAGTGGGTTGTTAAGGGCACTGTCAAGGTTGTCAACCACTTCTTCTCGGGTTGTCAACAGCCACCGTTGAGGTTGTAAATGAATTGCTACAATAAAATTAGTAGGGATGAGTAAGTAATTTCACAATTACAATTTATTACACACAAGTTCTCGGGGACTTAGGAGTCATTTCAAAATTTTTAGAGACTTTTTCTGAATTAATTGTTTTATTTGGGACCTGAGTGTAATTTTCCCTTTAATTAACTCCTCGCCGGTGGCCACATGACGAAATGGACTCCTTGTTTTCCCGACCAAAAATATTGACTCCTCGTTTGAGTGGGCCGCAATATATGAGAATCAAAAAGGTGAAAAAAAAGTTAGTCTTATTATATTCTGTGCCAGTGGTCTAACATTTGGAACGAGTCAGCAAGGAAAAAAAATGATAAAACAGGTATTGGGTTTGACAGATAATCAAATACTAAACTGCACAATAACACAACACAGTCTGGCGAGGGAAAGCGGAAGTCAACGCCCAGCTTCAAAAGTCTAAATTCATATCGGTACGAAATTAGAAAGCGTTTGTTGATATATAAGCTAGTTAAGTTTGGCATTGGGTTATGGTCCAATTTTGCTCATGAATAACCAGAAAGCTGTGATATTTTGGAGCTGTTTTTTCATTAATAAAATCTCGCAAGTGTTAAAAAAAGAATAATACCATTCTTGACTATTAAGCTCCATTTGGTATGATGGAAATAGAAAGGAGAGGAGGGAAGAAAAGTTTTGATATTCTTTTGTTTTACGTTTTTTTATTAAAATTTTATAACTCCACACTTTAAATTTTTTAGATCAAGCTCATGAAATTTTTTTTCCCCTCTCCTTCTCTTCATTTCCATCGTACCAAATATGGGGTTAATAAATTAACGCTAATTTCTTAATAGTTACGACGGAGTTGTCCTTTTGTAACACTTTTGAGGTTACAAAATTTTTTGAATATTCATAGCCCTTACGCAAAAACATTCTAATCAAAATTGAAGCTTTAGCTTTTACATTTTATATATGTGATGATGTTGGTATAAAACGTTTTTAGCAAGGGAGGATTCTCTGTTGTTAAATAAATTGTTGAACATTAGTTTTTATGGAACAAATTTAATTTAAAAGTAGGTTTATATACCCCTCAGATGATTTGATATTCACAAGATTTTCTGGTCCCAAAAATATTCACATGGTTTGAAAATTTAGTACCAGCAGGGCTTTTTTTTTTTTTGTAGCGATTAGGTATGAGGAGTCTCTTCTCTTCTCCAAGTTACTATAATTAAGGGTAGAAATAGAAGTCAATGAATCATTGTTGAAATTGACCTTCAAATTGCGTGCGAAAATCGTGTTTCATGAAAAAAAAATTAGAAAAAATGTATCTTTTAATTATTGAATATTGCTTCAATTATCCATTTAGTTCCAAAAATTTGACTTGGGGTAATCTAATTTCTATAAATTTCTTGACTCAACAATCCAGTTTTTATAGCTATATATTTAACTTGATAGAACTCAATTCTTGATATTTCTTAACTCAATAAAATATAAAAATTGAATTGCAATAAGTCAAAATTCAGATATGAAATTGAGAATTGAGAGAAAGTTTAGCATTAAGACTGTGTCATTTGATATCCTTTTATTACTAAATAAGCTAATATTCAGTGCTGATAATTCAAGCCGGCATGTATTGGCCCTTTGTTAATTTTAGATGTGCCTGTGTGTAAAATATTAAATATAGTTTAATAGCTAGCTAGTATGGCGAAGAGGGCCAGCTTCTTTTAAGTTGGCGCTTATTTGTTCTTTACTATTTATGAATTTATTTTAATGTGTATGCGTTGACATAAAATGGGATCCAAACAAAAGATAACTCATTGACAACAATAAATAAAATTGTTATATATGCAAAATAGTACTCCTACAGTTTTTAATATAGGACCTAATTGTTGAGTTAATTTTGGTCCTAAATATAAGATCTATTTTTATTATTTATCAATTTTTTCTAAATTATCCTTATGGATACTCTCTTACCATAATCAAGTAAAAAAAGGAAGGAGAATATTAAGAAAGATGATTATGGTGTTTTAGAAAAAATATGTCATATTTTTTTATAATTAACTAACATACATAACTTCATTAATATAATCAAATTAGTTAAATAAGTTTTATATTAAAGATAGAAAGAGTATTTATTTAATAGGAATTAAATAATATTGCGTTCGCTCCTCATGGTGGTGGATCACACAAATATAAAATGCAACCGAGAAGGATTTGAAGTAATTAAATTAAAATTAATGAGAAGTGGAGTTTCTACTTCTTTCTGGTCAAAAAAAAAAAAGAGTTTCTGCTTCTGACGTCGTAGCCCCAAAGAGAAACCCACAATTTCAAGCCTCCCAACTTGGACACGTAATCAAGTGCCCTTTTCTCGATGACTTCCACCACACTTGCCATTCACTTTTCAATTTGCTCCGCCCCCTCACTATTCTCATTCTCAGAACCCTCCTGCGTTGCTTCCTCACAGCACACTAAAGTCTCTCTTCCACATTTGAATATTCCCTCCTCCATCCCTTCCTCTATATAAACCCTCCCTCTCTTCCTTTTCCAACACTACATATCACACATTCCCACTCTCTCTCTCTCTCTCTCTCTCTCTCTCTGAGTTTCAGAAACTAAGAAACTGAAACCATGTTCCTTAAAAGCGCAAAGGCCATGCTTGTGGTGTTCATCGTGGTGAATTCAGTTCTCATGGGGATACAAGGCCGTCCGCTGAGCATCGCCGAGACAGCCGGAGACGCCGTCACGGCTGGGGATGACGTGGACTTCTTTGATTGGCTGGGGTTGGGAGGAATCAAGAGCTCGGGGCCAAGTGGTGGAGGAGCGGGTCACAGCTTCCACACACTTGGAGGGATCAAGAACTCAGGTCCAAGTGCCCCTGGCGCCGGACACTAGTCCCTTAATTTCAGGACACACTCGTCCTTTTCTCAAACTACCAACGTACGCCAACCAAATCAATGAAGCACCTCGTAAACGCATCTTCATGTTATGACTAGTTAATTCCTTCATTCCTTCAATAATATATACGCACACATCTTTTTTTTTTTAATGCTTTTAGGAGGGTTTTCAAGTGCGTATGTGAGAGTTATTCGCTAGTCGTAGAAAGTTTAGTCGTGCAAAATTTAAATTCTCATGTTATATGTATCCTGCTTAACTACAATATTAGTCAATAATGAATACATTAGTCAGTTTTGGATTGCCCCTATTGTATTTTATTAATATATTTCTTTTTTTTTTATTGGCTGATCTGTCTTCGTCAGACGTCTATGAACTTCCATAGGAGGTAACGCAAAATATAGTCAAGCGGGTATGTAGTGACGTCCGGATATTAATATTAGTTTTTTCCCATAAGACATGATAAGGCAGCTGAGATGTTTAGAAAAGTTCAAATCATTTTAGAGGAAAAAATTGTTAAGGCTACCAATCTAAGTATATCGATTAGAATGGCGTGACATATCTTTGTCAACCACATCGAAGCACGCGGTCACTGGTCAACCTCTTGAGCTTGTTTGGCCGAGTTTTTAAAAAATATAAGAGATAAAATCCTTATTTTGATTTAATGTTTTTGGTCCAAATTCTAAAAAAAAAAATTTAGTACTTCTCATTGGTAGTAATTTCTTGATTTTATGAGCAGTAAATACCTCCTGTGTCCCCCTCCCCCAACGGTTTTTTAGCAATTATACAACGTAAAATAAATTTTTTTCCATGCATATATAGTATAACATAAACGAAAGTGTTCTCAAATGATTTTCCATTAAAAACAATTTTCGCTATTTTATATGAAGTGTTATTTAGAAAAATACTATCTTGGCCATCAAAAACCATTTCAATATAAAGATATCCACATCAATTATCACTTATCGATGCAATAAATGTGGATTTAATTTATAAATGATGCGTGTGTGTAGATTGGTTGGCAAGAAATGATTTGTGTGTGTGGGGGGATAGTATATGTCTCTATTACTTAGGTAGAAAGAATGACGAAATATAAAACTTCCAATGAAATTGAAAGATAATGTTGAGTGCTCGTATTTCCAACCAAATATATATATATATATATATATATATATGTATCGATTTCAAGTGTGACAATATTTTAATGAAAATTAAAATTCTAGTCGTTGAAATTATCAAATTAATATAATTAATGTGTACGCATTCGCATATCTACTCAATTTGGCCACGAAATCATGAAAGAATTTTGCGGGAGTAGAAGATAACATATTTAGCTGAACGAATATTGAAATATACGTACATATAAATTGACTATATGTAGGACAAAACTTAGTCCTTAACTATAAATATGTGGTCCACTTTATATTTAATATTTTTGTGACAATGCCCAATATATACCTTCGGAAATATGTACATTTTTTTTATAGTGCCTCCGGAGAAAAATAAATTTAAAAAAATGCTACTGAGTCTCTTGCATTATACGGATATAATAAGTAAGTAGTATTGCTTATGACTCATGGTCAGCAGGACACGGCTTGTTAAAATTTTCATATTATGTATAGATATTGATTCCATCATGAGTATATTCTCATGTAAATTACATAGCAAGATTTAAATTAGAAAAAATCTTTTAAAAAAATATTACTCAAATTTTGAAATCTCAAATCAGTCATATTCTCTGCACTTTAGTAACAATTGACTACAGTTGAAAAGCAAATTATAAAATATTTTTATAGAAATTTATAAGCAAAGATTTTGAAATTCAAATGATATTTTTAGAGATTTTTCTTTAAATTATTACCAAACCGTAGAATATCGATACTAATATAAAATATGAAAATTCTTATAATAAGTTATACTATTTATAAATTGTAAGCAGTGGGACTTATTTAATTTGTTAATTTGTATAAATCATTGACTCACTTTTTTTAATATATTTCCTTTTCAATCGTCGGTGGCCCTATTCATTGGTCACTTTTCTAATAAAATTTTTATAATATTCAAAGGAAAAAAATCCACTTATATGAAATAATGTAAATTTAAATGGGGGGCTTTTTTTTTCTTCATTTCTTCTCATAATCTCACATCCCCCTTCAAATAGAAAAATGAATGATTTGAATTTAATATTTTATAAAATTATTATAAACATAAATATATAAAATTAAATTTCTAAAATTTGACGTGCACAATTAATAACTGTAGTACAGAAAAAATAGGAAAATTTTTAATTTTATTAAATATTTTAATATTAAATTAGAGGTAGTTATTTTTTTATTTAAAGATAGAGATGAGATTTTGAGAAGAAAAGAAAGGGGGGAAAAAAACAAGGAGAGGGTAAAATGACAGGATCTCCATCCGCTTGAGCTCATATCTTCTTCTCTGTTGGTGATTATCATCAGTAAAAGTGAGTATTCGGTTTTTCGGTTTGGTTATCAGTGATAACTGAATAGACTAAATTTTAAACACCGAACTAAAACCGATTAACCAAACTAACCAAAACCGAATTAATTGAAATATTTTAATTCGATTAACTGATTAACCGGAATATAAATATAAAAATAATTTTAAATTAAAAATAATAATAAAACAAAATTACAACCGTTAATTAATAAATATTTCATCATTCAATGTAATTTATTATGATAATATTTATTATAACCATATTTATTGAATATAAATATATTTAAAAAGTTCACATATACCCACATATATATTTAATAAAATAATATTTATTAAATATACATATATAATATATTTATTTTGGTTTTTCAAGTTATAACCGAAATTTTCGTCTACTAACTAAACCAAACAAACCTGAATTGTAAAAAAAAAAACCGAATATATAACTAAAAACCTAAATAACTGAACCAAAAAATCAAAATTAAATTCAATTTGGTTCGGTTTTCGGTTACGGTTCAGTTTTGTCCAGTCCTAATCATTAGCTTCTTCCCAAACCCATTCAAATACCAACATCAATCTCCCCAACTAGAAATTGAATGCTTCTATTTAATTATTAGTTAAATATGAAGCCATTGACTAGTTGAACGCTGAAAATGTTGCCCCGTATGGACCCGGATTCATTCAGCTGAATCCATAGATCTAGAAGTGTAGAATTGGAGATATATTATGTATAAACTTTCTAATTTAAAGCCTTTTATTTTCTTATCATAGAAATAAAACATTATTTTCTGACTATAATTTCTTTTAATTTCTATCAAAGATTTAAAAGAATAAAATCCGGAAATTGTGGTTGTATTTTAGCATAACAGAGGGAAGGCCAAATTCGGTGGGTGTTCGTAAGTGGTACTACAGGAGTGTGAGTGACAGCATTATCACAACTTGACATGATGTCCACGTGGGCAAATTAAATGTGGTCGGTTACAACATAAGCCATCTTTTTTTTTTTTTTGACCGAAGAACATAAGCCATCTTTGAATCTTCCTTTGAATTGAATCCCCATATTTATTTTTTTCCAATCTTATAACACGCCACATACTTGAAATTCTATGCAAACATAGTTGTCAACATTTTACAAAGTCGTTTGTTGTCATGGAGAAGAGAAGCACGCGTCTATATTCTATCTCAGATCGTTAATATAAAGTCAACATAATTAATTTTGATAGATTAAAAAAACTAATTAAATTAATTATTTATTAAAAATATGTGCTTGTTTTCTTAAAATACAGTGTTAAATCATTTGTATTAAAAACTATCCTTTCATGCAAATTTTCTAAACACAAGCAATTAAAAGGGATAATTTGGAAAAAAAAAAGTATAGAGAATAAAATAGATTAAACTCTTATCCTACCTCCGGTCCTTAATATAAGACCTTGTTTGACTTTTATTTTGATCCTAAATATAAGATCTCAATCTACTTTGTCTCTCATATTTATTCATTTTTTTCCAAAGTAATCCTTTTAACAATAGTAGTTCTAGTCAATACATTTGATTAGTAAGGATATTTTAGAAAAGACAATACTTATTTGTTACAAATAACTAACTTAACTTCTTTTCTTAATCTCTTCAAATTAGTTAACTAGCTTTTATAATTAGAACTGAAAGTAGTATTTAAGTCCAAACTCAATTCTCTCATTAGTTCTTATATTAGGACTAGGGCGGAGGTAGTATTGAAGTTTTTTGAAGTGTGCATGATAAATGTTGGACACATGCTTAACGCTTCAGTTGCCATCCATTAATCTAACGTCATAATTAATTTATAGTTCTCTTCATAGCCTTCCAATTTTTATTAATTAGATGTTCGTCCCCAAAGGAACAGTTATTACTTGCTGGTTACGGCTCATTGCATTGAACATCTTTCAACTCATCATTCATTACATTACATATATATTGGCTCCTACTATTATTACAATTCCATAATTTGGACCACGCTTACTATTTTGACTGATGTATTGTCCCTTTCACTTCATTTCACTTGCTCAAAGTTTAAATAAAATGTGACATGTTTATTTTATAGTTGAGGCCATGATCTTCTAGTTAGCAATATGTGTTATCTTCTTTTACCTGGTGTGACTTAAATAAAAGGGAATACAGGAACATCATCGTGGGTTCAAGATCTTTCCAAAAACAAGGTGAAGAAATGAGTCCCATTTCAGGCCAAAGTTTGTTCTGGTAACTGAATCTTGTGGCTTTTTCTTTGGATGTTTTTGGGAGTTTGGAGAGGCAGGAGGGAACTCTCTAGTTTGCTAGCTTAATCTCTTTGTTTTCATTTGCTGAGTGCAGTGAAAACGAATCAGCTAAAAAGCAATAAACTGCTCAAAATTGCCTCTCATGACTGACTTTTGAAAGTCTTTGTTCTGTTTTTCTTTTGCAAATAGTATTTTCTAAACCGTTCAAGAGAAAAGATATGAGGTCATGGATCCGTCAGGTGCTTCGGTGTCCAATGCTAGAATAAATTGATGGTATCATTTCTGCATAATGCTTCCAAAATCCTCTTTAAGGATTAATCTCCAGCAAATACATGGGGAAATGCACAAGTAAACAAGCACCAAATTTGCCTTTTCCTATCCTTTAGGACATGCTTCTTCTCTTGTTTGCTTGCTATTTTTACTTTGGCTTTGGATTTTGTATGTGCAAAAGAAATAGAGCAGATACAGTGAAAGAGATTAATTACTTCTCATGTGTCATTGTTTCATGGGTATATCTTTTTAATGTTTTGTTTTCATTAAGATCATGTCTCTGTAGTGTTTTGAAAGTGTTGGATTTATGTTTCCTGAAATCTGTGTTGTTTCAAGCAATGAATTTCAAATGTTTCCTGCCCCAAGATGCTTCGAAACTTCTGATGTTTTGCGGTCTTTTATATTGACTGATATAATGCTAAAGGTACTGGTACGAACTTCACTTGGAATTCTGTACCAATCCAAGAAAAAGCCAATCTGATATAGTTGTGATTGGTGATACAAAACAAAAGGTGCATTTGGGTCCACAGTGAAAGCCAGTGCACTAATCAATATCTGCTTTAAGAGGAAGTACTTAAAATCGAGTTAGAACTCTCAATTATGATTTGCCTATTGACAGTGTAATATCTGCTTGCTATACTCCACAACTTGGTGATTTAGTACTTCCTCTTCTCACTTACGACAGAGAATAACGTGGGATTGCTATACCCAGCAGAGAGAGAGATTTCAGGAAACTTAAGGTAGTTTGTTCAATTAAGATTAATGGCTATAATTGCCTCCCAGTATAATTGGTCATTAGCAATGAACCTTTTTATGGTTGAAAAAGGATAGTCTCTGTCCTTGTGAGTCTGTTCTCTCCACATGGACTGGCGTGTTGAATGAAGCTATCTACGTTTCTCTTAATTTCTCATGTTTTAATCTTTGATATAATTTTTTTTTGGGTAATTTAATATTTCAAACCTATTGCAGTGCCAATAGAGAAGCAGCTAAATATCGATTCAGTCATTGGCCAATTATACTGATCAAATACATCAATATGCTGGATCTCTCTTCATATATGGGCCAAGATTCGAATTCCTTCAACGTTAAAGAAACAACTTGTTGATGGTCGGGACTTAGTTTGTCATCAGGATGAGGGATGAGGATATTCTGGTTTGAGTTTCAGTTGAGGTAGTTTTAATACGCAGATACAAGTTTGTGCTTACCTGAGCTTGCCTTTATTGCTCCAAGAAATCTTCCATCACACTATCTTGATTCTGATGCAACGGCTGATAGTTCTTTTTTACATCAATACTGATTATAAAATAGAACCAGACCAATATAACAAGAAAATTGCCGATAATGTTTACGGCATTTTGGAATGTTTAATAGTTCTTTTGAAGAGACATGATACCTGTACTTTTAAAGAAATTTTCTTTTGTTTCACAGTTTTGTTGGGCATGCAGTTGGTAACATGAGCGGAAATGACTTAACTTTCTCTAGTGAAAACAAAAAGGCAAGTTCTTGTTTCTAGTTTTTGAATTAAGAGTTCTGAATCAATAAGGAAGGTTCACTACTGTTACATTTGTTCTGGTATTGCTACTCTGTTTGATTGAATGTGTTTTTAATATATCTCATCTTCAAAGGCTTTTGTATACCTTCAGACTCAAGATGGTGCTTCTATTTTCCTGATTTATTTTACTAGTTTTCCTTTTCCGTTTTGATTGTTGTCTAGGAGAAGCAAGTTAGCCTCTTTTTGCCGCCTCAGGAAGAATTTTTATAGATGTACCATTTATTGCATCAGCATCCGTTACCATATCCTTTCGGTAGAAATCTCAAAAAGATAAGAAAAATGTCATTGACAACTGACAAATATGCGGCGGATTCAGATCTCTCCTGGCTTCAGCAAATGGGGAGCATAACCTTCATGGATCCACTATACGAGCAATTAATGTACCTTTAGATCCCATAAATTGAGTGTGAAATGAAATTGGTCAAAAAGAAATGTGCATTTTTTGCAATTTATTCACTTACTATGTTGCAAGACATGGTTTGTTGCTGCTGGTTTTACAAGAAATTGCAGGTTTTTGCAGGAAAACCAGAGCCCTCTTATGACAGCTCTAAAGTACTGGAAAGAAAGTCAGAGAGAAAGCTGAATAAGAAACATCACTGAATCTTGATCTGCATCCCAAGCTGTATTTGTTGACTATGAAATTGCAAATTGGCAAAAAATATCATTCTCCAGGAAATTGCAGGACCCAATGCTCAATTTCTGTTACAGTGGAGTACTGAATTGGACCTCTTTTTCAAATTCTAACAGTGGTGACAAGTGATCTCGCGGACTGTTGTGTTGGTAACGTGGATGTGAACAGTGAGCGAAGATTTTATCGAGATTAGGAATGAGACCCTAGCATGGCAAGAATCTTACGTGATATCTGACTCATTTTCTTGGATTGTAGCCTGCAGGTTCCAGTTCATGGCCAGTTATTGGTTGCTACTAGACAAATACTTTAATCCTTTTATTCCTGTTTCAAACCCGCTATTGCTCCAAGCTGTCACACACAGGCACTGTGAACCGTGATTTCCATCTTATCCTCTAAGGTGTTTGACCCAACAAGAAGATAGAGACACAGTTATTCTCTTCTCCTGTTCAACAAAACAATTAATCCAACATTTTCCAAATGTTGTTTTTCCTCCTGGGCAAGCGTTGAAAAGGTAAATTCGCTCAAGACTCATAAACTTCATAATGATTTTAAGCATCATGGTAAAAATCGAAGCACCCGTAGTGGCTCTCACCAATTCTTTCACTTTCACTTTTAATAATTTTGCCCTTGTCATTTCGCACTAAATATCTTATTCATATGCTTAGGTGTAATTTATTCTATGGTGCTTGGTTTGTAATTTCAAGATCCAGGCAACCTAAACCTTAGGCGGCTCAATAGCGACTATCTTCTCCCAAAACATGATGACCAGCAACAGAAAACATTAACTAAACGCGGTTTTTCCCGATCGATTAATTTGCTTTATTTTTATATTTTTAATCAAAACAAAAACTGAATTAACCCGCCCGTGCAAGTGCAAATAAGGAAACACATGAACTTCATCTAGATTTTGGAGATAGTTTTCATACTACTGCTTCCTTCTTTTTCCCTCAAGCTTGAAGAACAGAACAAGAGCCCTACCGGGATTTTACATTTCGCCCATGAAAATTTTCTTCCGTTTTTTTTTTTTTTGGCCTTGTCAACTCCATCCATCTCTTCCGTTTTCCCACTTCTAGGCATCACAGTGCCTCTCTCATGAGCGCGAGTTCTGTCTCTGTACATCAAGCAAAATTATTTGCCTACGAATTTAAAACAGAGAAAGGATAAAACTTTTTATCGTTCCCGAACTCCATTCTCTCTCGTCTTCTACTCTCATATTTACGAAAGGAGCTTGCTAATCCCAACACGCTTCACTGCAGCGTTCGCAAATCCATGAGCTGCCTCTTTTCTAGTCCCGCCATATAACTCCTCACCTCCGTCTTTATCATCTCCTGCATAACAGCTAGTAACTCTGCGCTGAAATTGAATGGTGCCGCCCCATTAGGGTTCGCCGCCGATGACAAGCCGTCACCGCTCCTCCGATCGCTCAGGCCTAAATGAACCTGCTGCTGCACCGACATCGCTGCGCCTGCGGGAGGCAGCAGCGGAGCTGCGGACGACACCGCGGCTGAGACCATTGCCGGTAACAAACGCACAGTATTCGCTAGAGATGCAGCATGTGTTGACTCTGAAGCACGATTCGAGACTTCTGAAGAGTCGACTCCAGGAGGTGATAGGGATAATGAAGTAGTAGGTTCATTCGATGACGACGTCGTTTCTACGGGAGGTAGAACTCCGCCGGTTCTCGCCACAGGCCGGTAAACATGGGAAGAAGAAGCTACTGGCACACTGGAATCACTGACGTCGGATCCGGAGGGGCTACCCGGCGTCTGCTGGTTTCCGAAAAACCCGTTCGACACCGGCATAGCAGCTCCGGCACTCACCGATCTCTTCAGTGGCTGGGGGCTGAAACTGCCATCGAATCCACCGGCCCCAGCGGCGGATTCGTCCATCATCATGGACGCGCACTTGCGCTTCAAGGTGGAGTTCCAGTGGTTCTTGATGGCGTTATCGGTTCGACCCGATAGAAGCCGGGCTATGGTTGCCCATTTATTGCCGAATCGGGCATGAGCCCGCATGATAGTCTCATCCTCTTCCGGCGAGAAGGGTCGGTGCTCCACCTGAGGACAGAGCTGATTACACCATCTGAGCCGACAAGACTTGCCGGACCGACCTGGAATCGACTTGCTGATCAGCGACCAATTCCTAGGTCCGTGCTTTTCCACCAGCTTCTGCAAGGCGTCGTCCTCTTCGGGGCTCCAGGGGCCCTTGATCCGATCCATGTCCTTACGGCTATCAATGACCATATTCATGTCTTTCAGAAATCGAAGATCATACAAGAAACGAGGGAAAAAGGCTAGCCGGTACAGAAACAACGACGGAGACGAAGGAGAACGCTTTTGCGGGTTTGGTTTTGATGGTTAAAATGGCAGCTAGCAAATTGGCAATGGAAATCAGCTGAGACAAGGAAGCATGCCAGGGGCTGCTTATATGTGAGACGGGGAGGTGGAGGGGTGACCGGTTAGGCAAGTTAGTTAGACAGGGGGTTGAGGAGGTAACGGGTGGGCATGCGGTACCGCTTCTTCCAGGAAAGCGGTTGGATTGGGATTTGGGATACAGCTGTCAATACACACGCGTCACCCTTTAGCGTCTCTGATTTCCACAAGTCCCACCTCATGTTATTCATCTCCTCTCAGGCAGTCAGGCTCTCCCTCGCAGTTTTATCCATTCGGTTTTCTTCCCCCAAAAAAAAAAAAAAGGATCCCATGGCATAAAATATACACCCAAAAATTATAATTAAAAATAGCGGTACTGCTCAATTTATTTTCTGTTTCTCACCACTGCATCGAAGCCAAACGATGTATTTTCTTTTTCAAAAAAATCATAATAAGCTGCTTTATTCATAAATTAATTATACTCACATAATGTAAATTTTTTTATAATATTATTTTCAAATCCTACAAATAACAATTGTATATCGCTGAAAACATCTAAATAAATACATTTTGACATGATGGATTTATGATTATCCGTTTATCTTGATTTGGACATGACAGCCAGCTAATGAAAATAAATGTCAAACATTTTTCTGTTAAGATTGAGATTTAATTCCTGAAAATCAAACAGATTCAGATGCGTATCATATATAAGTTAATTAGTGAATTTGTTCATTCATTTGGAGTGTGAGGGAGCAGTCGTTGGGTGTGAATGGGAAGGAGGAGGCGCGTATCGGGGGGAATGGAACAGTTACGGAAGCAAACCTGGAGAGAAACGGGATTTGGAGGTAAAGGAAATAGTTAAATTCAGAAATATTTATATTATAAAATTATAATTTTTTTCCAAAAGAAAAAAAAAAGAAAAGGAGAAGGGAAAGGTGGGGAAGAGATAACGATGATAACGGTTGAGTTGGGTTGGGTAAAGGTGGGATCAAGAGGAGCCTGCCTCAACCTGACTTTGACTGATGACTCCAGCCTGTATAGCATATTAGGATTTATTTATTTATTTTCTTTTCGGGAATTAATAATTGGGGGGGGGGATTTGCAAATTGAGAGGGCGGGGGGCCCACGGGGGAGGATGAGGTGGAGGAAAACGACGAGATCGGTCGCGGAATCGGAGGGCGAATCATTACTGCTTTTGTGTCAGGCCAGGCTGTAATACCTGCCACACCCTCCCACTTCCCTCTCCCCTCCCTCATCCTCACGCTCACACACCTTCCTCCCTCCTTCCTCCCATTGCCTCACCCAACTAATTAATACTCCATCCGCCTCGGATTTGATCTCCTTGTCAGACATTTTGATTCTCTTAACCTAAGATTTTGGACTTAACTCCCCTCTCCCTCTTAAAATACTACCAATTCACGTCAATGTGCCCACAATCTTGTTATCTTATACCTCTAATCCACGCTCCATTTAAATTCCCAATGAACAAATCACTCAATCATATTAAATTATAAATCACTTTACTAGAATTTCCTTTTATTGCATTGTAAATAAATCATCTTCCTATTAAATTATAAATTAAACTTAAAATAATTTCACATCTCGTGACAATCAATGTACCCATCTTTATAATATTATGTGATAAATTTTTATTCCAAAAAAGGATGTGTATTTTAAATTAAACGTTTTGTTTAGACTTAGGGGGGGGGAAAGACCCCCAAAGAGAGAGAGAGGTGATGGGGAGGTGGGCCCAGCTCACAAAGGGACGGAAGAGATATGATTACAGAGATCCGTATCCATTTCTGTTACTCGTACGTCGTACCTAATACTTAAATACAATGATCCTCGCCCTCTCTCATCCAATTTCTCCGTGTCCCTCGTCCCCCTCGCCCTGCTCAGTCGGTGATATCCTACTCGTTTCCTCAGCCCAATAATTCAGATACATCCTGACATTATTAATCTCGTTTTGTTCGTAACTAATATTTCAAACAAGGTTGGAGATTTCGATTCCATTTCTTCACTTTTTAATTAGCGGAGAGGATGGGGGCAGCACGGGGGAATGTACGTAACAGAGCATCAGCGCATTATAAAAACCTCAGTTTTATAGAATGTGTCTGCAGAACATGAACCGCAGTTCTTTTTTCCTTTTATTTAATGTTTGGTATTGGTCGCTAACATGCCGCTCGCCCCTAAACAAAAATGCCAAAAACCCGTCTATATTTTTCCCCCTCCCCTGCCAAGTTCATGATATGATGCGTTACTTTCTCTATACAATTACCCAAAATAAGCTTGATCGCTTCTCAATCTCACTGAGTTTCCCCCCTTTACTTGATTCGGTAATTCACAGCTACATTTGACAGTGATGTTTTTCAAATTATTGCCCCTTCCCCCTCTTGCCTCCATTATTTCAAACATTTCCCCCCACTTTTTACGTCCTTTTTTGCACAAAACAATTAAATAAAACTAAAAATAAGTGATTTTTTTTTTTAAGTTTTGTTCGTCCATCCAGCCCACAAGGAAAACAAAATAACAGGGATATAAAAATGATATATATTTTACTGTGTGCGATTTCTTAATATAATAATAATAAAGAAAATAAAAATTCTTGGCGACCAAGGGAAACACATACGGAGAATTGTACCTTCTCAGGCATTGTAATGTAACCGTTAGGTGGGGACAGACAACAGCTGTAATTAAGGACGGTTCTCCTTTTTCTCTCTTTTTTATAAAAAAAAAAAAAAGAAGATGTACTGGTGCTGGGATTAATTTAACAACAGAGGCACGTGCGAAAGGGCTCTATCACGTGCTTGGGCGTCTTCGAAGGCAGACACACGCGGCGCCTGCTCCCCCAGAAGGGGCAACGCAACTACCAAACTTAAATTACCAAACTGGCCTTCCCCCTATCATATTTGGGTCGGTTGGGAGATCAGCACCGTTGACGCGGGTTCAGTCTTTTTTCCTGGTAGGCCGTAAACAAAACAAAAAGAATGTAAAACCGGACAACATAGGGTACGGAATAGCTCAATAATATCTTCTCCCCCCGTCACGTGAATCCCACGTGACTTCTTCCTCCCCATATAATCCTAGCTGCCATTGCTCAGCGCCCATCATCTTCCGGTTTTCTTCTGTTCCGAAACAAAGCTCATCACGATGGACGGCCCACATTAAAGAGCTGAGCACCTTTGTTTTCCTCGTGGGAAGAAAAAATCTTCTAAATTTTAATAGCAATAATAACAATTATGTATTTTTAATATTGTGGAAAATAAAAATATCAAGTGCATTTTTTATATTGACTTTTTTGTTATGCCACTCTGGTCCTATATATACAAACCACCTATATACCAAAATAAGGATGATTTGACAATTTAATACAATTTTTGTATATGCAAATATGTGTGGTTGGCGAGAAAAAAAAAGATATACAAAAATATTCCTCTGGTCCTATTTACATGACAGAGAGAGAAAGTTTTTTTGTCTTATTTATAAGTCACTTTATTAAATTTTTAGCATGAATATACTATTTCATCTTTTATTTATTATAGTGTAAATAATTATCTTTTTTGAAAGATATATATTAAATAAGAATAAAATTAAAAAATTATTATATTTTAATGGAAAGTTAATATATTTTAAGATTTTTTTATCTGTATAAAACATGTTAAAAATATTTTATAAATATGATCAAATAAGTATGTGATGAGCAACATATAAATGGTACACTAGAAAAAGCGAAGGACTGGATTTTACATTCGCTTTTCCAGCTACCATCTTAAAAGCCTCACTGAATCTTTTGTTCTTATCCATAATTAAGTTATCTTTCTGCAGCCAATAACACGACCCATTCTTTTCCCCGTAGATTTTGATGCATTCGACCCGGATAGCCTTTTCTCTTGATAAAAACGACAGAAGAGGAGTGAAGAAACATTTGCACAAAATTTGCATTAAGTAATTGAAAGAGGGGGGAGAGATTCAATTTTAAAACTTTTATAAAGTTTAAATAAAAAATGGAAAGTATGTTGCCAAAAAAATTGAAAGCATTGTAAATAATTGTTGGCGTTCTTTAGTATTTATATTAAACTTTGACGCTTTTTTTTTTTTTTGGGTCTGCTTTGAAAAACCGAAAGCAGAGGAAACAGGCTGTAAAGGCAGGGGAACAAAGCTCAATGGTTCGCTCTTTCCAAGATAATGGCGGTGGAGAGAGATTAGTCAGAGCAACGAGCGAACGACGGTAAAACAAGCGTCGCCTACGATCCGAAAATAAAGGGCACGTGAAAAACGACGGTGCGTCATCCATAACTGACAAGGACGACAGTTGTTATGATAGCTCGTGTCGCCTCCTCACCCATGCCACGTATGTACTGGATTTGATAGTTCAACACCGGACAGCACAGGTGGTCCCCGCTCATGTCCCCATTATTCTCCACGTCATGGTGTTTTTGTCGTGTTTGTTGACGTGGCACTCCCACACGTCACTCTAATCGGGAACCCCATGCGTAGGTGTCAGTGTCATATCGCGTCCGCCGGTGAGCTTACTTCATGCACCGGCCAGGCCATCGTCGTCCTCGTCCTCGTCCTCTGCCTTATTTTGTATTTGTGTTTGATGTTTTCATCTGATGCACAAACTTACAAGAAGGTTGCGTGTTTTTGGCAAATGCTTCAAATTGCTTCACTGTTCAGTTACTTTTTACCGCTTATTCCATTCTTCACGTGCGGCCGACAGTTTTTTAAAAAAAATTGTTTTTATTTTTACCTTTTTAGTTTTATCTTAATCCACAAGTATTCCCTAATATGCGATTTTGTTTCTTGGCAAACAGAACTTTTTATTTTTCTTACAAAGAAATTTGCATCATTGATATATTTTTGGAGTAAAGTGGGATGAATATCAACAGTTATAAAATAAGGAATTGAGAACCTTAACTGGAAAGAATGGAATTTTTAAGCCTGTGAATAGAATATATAGTTGGAAGAAAATAGAAAATGGGGAAGCGGTTAAACCTAGAGGCAAGAGGCTTTTT